AAGCCATCCAACTCTTTTTATGAGGCTAATAAAATCTTGATTCCAAAGATGTTAAGGGGAAGAAATTTCATGTGTGCTTATAAATACAAAAATTCTAAGTAAATTATGATTCATGTATTAAATGTATCTAGAGTGTGTGTGTGTGTGTGGTGTGTGTGTATTAAACTAAGTGGAGTTTAACCTTTAGGATCAGGAAAAAGACAAGGATGTTTCCTATCACCACTGCTGTGTTACATAATTCTTAAGGCTGAGAACAGTTCTATAGGAAAAAGTAAAAAAGGTATAAGTATAACTAATAAGAGTTGCCAGAAACACAGTCAACATCTAGAAATCAGTAGCATTGTTCTACATCATTAATAACCAAATATAAAATAGAATTTGTAAAACGTTACAATTATATCCAAATTTATGAAGTATTTGGGAATAAACTTAACCAAGAGCATTTTTACAGATAACGTTTTTATGGAGAAAATTTTCATTTTTAACTCTAATAAAACAAATAAAAATTATCTGCATTAGATAAAGAGACATTTGGGGACTTTGAATGGTAAAACCCAATGTATTTCCAGATTAATTTATAAATTGATTGAAATTGCAATGAAATTATTTTGATGTATCTATACACTAATTGTAAAAATTATGTGGAAGAATAAATGTTCATGAATAGTCAATCCTGGAAAAGAAAAATAAATTCTACAAGTACTGAGATATATAAAAAATTAAGGTAATTAAATAAATTAAGACAACAATAGAAAGAAAGAGTGTAGAAACCTGGACACATATCTAGATAGCTACATAACAGACAGATACACAGGAGAAAAGCGGGGGGCGGGGAGGGAGAGAAGACAGATGGACAGGTGGATGGATGGACCTGGGCTGCTTCTAGGTAGGTGACCATATGACTATAAATAATGGCAGCTTTAAATCTTTGTTTCAAATAAACATTCATACAGTAAAGATGACATCACACATCACTAAGGAAAGGAATTTTTGTTTAATGAATGGTATTGGAAAAGCTGACTCACTATATAAGCAAAAATAATACTGGACCCTTATCTAATATCACAAATCAGTGAAAGTTGATCTAGATGGATTAAAGACCAAAATGTGAAAGGCAAAACCATAAATTTAGAACTAATTGAACAAAATATAAGAAGTTATCTTTGTAACTTCAAGGTAAAACCCCAAAACGTGAACATTTTTTTAAACTGTTTGAATATCTCAAAATTAAGAATATCTGTTCAACAAATAACATAGATCAAGTTAATAGACATATACTATTAGAGAGAATGCATTTGTAATGTTTTAAACTAGCAAGGAACTGTTATCTTTTTTTTAGTTTTTTTATATTTTGTTTTAAAGATGTGGGGTACAATTCAGGATTAGGTATACAAGTGGTCATCGCAAAGGTAAAGTTTGGGCCTCCCTTCAGTCCCCACTTTGCCGGTTTGGGGATTAGATACCCCTACTAATATTGTGTCCTCCCACCCCCAACCTGGCAGTATCCCTCTACTACTCTTGAAAATTAACAATATGTCCAGGCACAGTGGCTCAAGCCTGTCATCCCAGCACTTTAGAAGACCGAGGCAAGAGGAGCCTGAGTTCAGGGGTTCGAGACCAGCCAGGGCAACATGGTGAGACTTCGTCTCTACAATAATCAAAAAATTAGCTGGGCATGATAGCACATGCCTGTAGTTCCAGCTACTTGGAAGGCTGAGGCAGAAGTATCACCTGAGCCCAGCAGGTCAACACTGGGGTGGTCGTGAGCGAGCCACTGCACTCCAGTCTGGGCGACAGAGTGAGACTCTGACTCAAAAAAAAAAAAAAAAAAGAGAGAGAAAGAAAACTAACAATATAAAGACAGGAATCTCCATTTTTTAAAAAAATGGGCAAAGGCTGTGAACAGGAAATTTACACAAGAATCCCAGAAGACTAGCAAGCATATTAAAAAGATGTCAAATTTGTTAGCAATTAGAGGAGTACAAATTAAAGCAACAAGGTATTATTTTGTACCTATTGTACTGCCCACAATTAGAAACCTGGAAAACACTAGGAGTCCATGGGGATATGGACTTATAGAAACTTTTGTGCATCGCTGGAGGGAGTGAGGACAGGGCAGTCATTCTGAACATGGTGGGCACTGATGGCTTAGATTGAGTGTATGCACTCCTGGTTCTACTCCAGATTATATTTTCCGAATAAATTGTCACAGAGATCCAAAAAGGGAGTTAGAGGCAACCTGGCTCTCACTTTTGGGGGAATTCTGTGCAACCCTGAGAAGCAGTGGACCAGCTGCACACAGTGACACCAGCAGATCTTGGAAACAATGCTGAGTGGAAAAAATAAGGAACAGAATGAGGTCTGTAACCTTATGCCATTTGTGTAGATCAAAAATACACAAAAGAATGAGTAAAATTGTATAAGAGTGCATGCAAACAAAAGGAGCAACAAGCCGGGCTCGGTGGCTTAGCCTGTAATCCTGTGCTTTGGGAGGCTGAGGTGAGTGGATTGCCTGAGCCCGCGGGTTCGAAACCCGCCTGGGCAACTTGGCGAGACCTCGTCTCTACAATAAATCAAAAAATTAGCCCAGTGTGGTAGCGCGCGCCTGTAGTTCCAGCTACTTGGAAGGCTGAGGCGGAAGGATCGCCAGAGCCCAGCAGGTCGAGGCTGCAGTGGCCGGGAGCGGCCCCTGCACTCCAGTCTGGGTGACAGAGTGAGACTCCAACTAAAAAAAAAAAAAAAAAAAAGGAGAAACAATAACCACATCGCAGTTTCTGCCTGTGGAAGAGGAGAGAAATGAAAATGGGATGGTGATGAGATAATAAATGCATTTTAAAAGCTCAAATTAGTGTAAAGCCATCATTCCCACCCCCTCATGATTGCATTGGGCATCTTGGTCAATAATGGTTTTTATTCTAACCGAGTAATAATAAAGTGAGTCAATCCTTTCTGTAGCGGTATTGTAAGATTCATTTAAAATGGCGGCCGCTGCGTGCCTCCTTAGCGCAGTAGGCAGCGCATCAGTCTCATAAAATGGTGGCTGCTTAGCTGATTGTGTTGGTGAAATCTTCCTTTAAGTAATATACGTGGCCGGGTGTCGCTCACGCCCATAATCCCAGCACTTAGAGAGGCGGAGGGGAGAGGATTGCCTGGGTCTAGGGTTCGAGACCAGCCTAGGCAACTTGGTTAGACCTCAACTCTACAATACTTCAAATAATTAGCCAGGCATGGTGGCGTGTGCCGGTAGTTCTGACTACTTGGAAGACTGAGGCCAAACGATTGCCTGAGCCCAGCAGGTCGATGCTGCTATGGCAGTGAGCATGCCACTGCACTTAAACCTGGGCAACAGAGTGAGACTCCTACTCGAAAAAAAAAAAAAATTAGCTGGCATGGTGCCACATGCCTGTGGTCCCAGCTACTTGGGAGGCTGAGATAGGAGGATCACTTGAGCCTGGAGTCTGAGGCTGTGGTGAGCAGAGATTGTGCCACTGCACTCCAACCTGGGCTACAGAGTAAGACCCCTACTTAAGAAAAAAAAAGAGGAGAAAGTAATATATGTGATTCTACAACTATTTTGAATCCTCATGAATAGACTTGGGCAATAGCTACTTAATAATGATCATCTATTTATTCATTTTTAATCCTTTCATTTAGTGTGCCAGGCACTGAAAATGTTAATAATTAGCCTTTTATTCTTAACTGACTAGTTATACTGAATTGACAGAATCGTTTATACAAATTGACCAAATCGATATTATAGACATAACAAATATAATATAGAATTTTTTACCATCTCCTCTTCTGTCTCATTTCCTGTATTCTACTCTGAACTGTTATTTCAAGATCAATGAGATATAGAGTATAGAAATTCTGTTTAGTTTTAGTACAGAAACTCTATCCTTTCATAAAATCTCATTGTTTACATTTCTGAATGAGAAACATCTACACTAATTGGTGTAGATAAAATCCAAAAATTTTAAAGGAGAAATCAGGAAAGGAGGTGAGAGGAATAGATTGTTAAACGTGATCACAGGAAAAGTTGAAAAGTATTATCCAGAATAGTTTATATATTTGTAAAATGAAATGCAGTTTTCAGAGAGCTCATTTACGAGATCGGTAATTCATTAAGTGAATTTCAAATCTGTTTTAACACCTCAGGAATCAGGGACGTGAAGCCAGAGAATGACTTTATTCACATCTTTAGTGACAGCTGTAATTTTGAAAATTGTCTGATATGGCTGTGCATAGCTGAAATGTAGAAAGCTGGATGGACAGCTTTCTGTTCCTGTTGTTGAAGTCAGCGTCCTCTTTAAATCAGTAAGAAGCTGATGATGAATGATGGCAGTAGGTGGGCGGCGTGGCCAGCGCTGCTCATTTCAGGGACCTGAGCAAGACGCCCTACCTACCTGTCAGGAAGCCTCTAGGACGCTTCTGATGGCTCAGGAAACAAAAAGGAGCTTACTCTGGTCACTGACTCTCAGCAGTCTGCACTCACAATTGCCCAGTGAGCCCCACGCTGAGTAATAGCTGAGTTACTTCATAGCAGAAGGAAGGCGGTCCTTCGTGGTCTCAGAGGTAAGCTGGAGGCCTCTGGGCAGGAAAATAAAGCATATTGAGGTTTCTTACGAAATTATTTCATTTCAAATCACTGTTAAAAAACTAGGAATGAACTTGTAAAATGGCGTTAAAACAGGTATTTTAAATTACTTTTCTTTTAAATATGTCTGTTTCTGTGAGAAGTTTATTTTATATTAAAATTCTTGTTGTAGACATAATGGAGCCAAGAGAAAGTTTAGCACTTTATTAAGAGAAAATGTCTGTGTCTTATTAGAGGTAGAATTTTGCCATTTCTAGGAGCTGAAGATCTGTTACATACAGATCAAATTAGAATCAAGAGCACATTCTTCTTGTTTATACGGAAGATTTCAAAGTAAAATGGAAAAAAAGATATGGAGCTTTTGAGTTTGAATGGTCTTTAATGTCTTCTGTGACTCTTTCAGGCCCTGGAAAGTGAATTTGTTTCTTGCCAACTCCACCAGTGGATCGACCTTATCTTTGGCTACAAGCAACGAGGACCGGAAGCTGTTCGTGCCCTGAACGTCTTCCACTACTTGACCTATGAAGGCTCTGTGAACCTGGATAGCATCACTGACCCTGTGCTCAGGGAGGTAGGTGTTAAGTCCTATATTATTCCAGAAATTGCTGTCATCTCTCAAACACACATTTGGCTTTTCATCTCTTTCTGTTTAGATTTCCTTTCAACATAACTTTTTACAAGACACAGATTTCAAGTTCTTGACAAATGTGGAAAAATGAATGTATGTCAAAAGCAAATAATGAGGCCAGCATGTTGCTCCTTTTGGAATAGCAGACATTGTTAATCCACTTACATTGCTCCATTTTATTTTTCTTCAGGAAAGGTTGAATGTTTTATGTGTGTTATTAATAAATGAAACCTAGTTGAATATTTGAATATGAATAGTTCACATTGAAATAATCTGCCAGTGTGGGTATACTTAAAAATAAAAACAAAATCGCCACCTTCTAGACAGAATACTCAACAAAATAGATCAATGAAATAGATGCAGTTATACTGTTTTCTTCCCATATGTTCTCAACCTGAAATGTTTATGCCAAAAGTTGAAAGTTATGTACTATAATATGTGTGTAGTATTTTCGGTGAAAACATTCATGTAAAATATCATTTAAATTCCCTCCACATTGCACGGAACGATTTCAGAGAGGTGGAAAGAGTGAAGATGCAACAGCTGCTACCTAAGTGTGGCTGCAAGGAAGCTGCATTCCAGTCTTCCATTCTATCAGATAGCTGCCATCTGCCATATGCAAACCATGCAATCATTTCTGCATTTTCAGGCAGTGGAATGCTTTTTAAATTTTCTTTAATTTTTTGTTTGAGAGGCGGAAAACTTGTGGATTTGAGAAATGAAGCTGTACTAAAAGAGTTTGCATCCACAAATTTATTTCTTGTATACTGCTATAAAGCAAAAATGACTCTACTTGGACGGCTCCAAGCAGAGAAGAAGAAAGGGAAGGGCAGAGCCTCGTGATCATCGATTGGGACCCTTAGGGCTAAATATTCTGAGAACACATTGCAAGCCTGTTATTAGGGGCAATAGTGGGCCATATTGTATGCACAAGGAAATAAAATTATTGCCTGAAGCCGAGAAAAGTATAGAGCCAGGATGAATGAATGAGAGAGTAGGGAATGTGGAATCAGTTGGTGAAATAAGGGATTTTCTCAAGACACCACTACACTTGCCCAACTTAGTATCCCCAGTTGTGTATAAACTGTAATCAGATTATTTGGTAGGAGATAATTCAGAGGTTAACTGTTCTCTTAACTATGTATCTTTTCTTACCACGTGCCAGTTCTATAAATTCCTTATGAACTAAATTCTTCTTTTAGAACCAGTGTCTTTCAGAGTCAAGAAAAAATAATAGTTGGAATAATTTATCCTTATATTCCAAGATTAACTCCAAAGTATTTTTTGACATGTAAGTATCATAGACATGTTTCCTCCTGGGTATTTTATTATACATTTTTATCCATCATAATAAAATTATCTTCTTATAAAAAAGTTGCAGGTTAATTCTGTGGGGCAAAATAAAACTCTCTATTAAGCATCTTCTACATAATGAAAGTGTAAGGAACCATTAAAATGTACAGAAAAATAGATTTTTCATATTTATGAAAGTAAAGAAGAAAAGCGAAAAATAAAATTGAATTAGATTTGAGACTTTATTCCCATGGATCTGGTGTTTGTTACTTGAATCTTATAAAAATACCTGTTTCTACAAAATATTACATCATTGCGTTGGACAGTGAAAAAAACCAAATGTAGGTAGGCCCAATTGTCCAACAGTGGGACAGTGTTTCCTAATGAAACATTACATGAAAATATAATTTAATTTTTTATTGTTGTTGAGTAAGGATGATCCCAGCATATGTTTGCTTATTACATAGGTCGTCTGAACAATGTATTGTGTCATGCGTTTGTGATCTCATGGTGGTGAAGACTGTCAGACGCTAGGGTGCCTTGGCTAAGGACTCTGCCTCTTCCAGCATTCTCATTCTGAGTTTGTAATTGCCAGATACTGAGATTCCATGAAAGCGACTGTGATGTGTATGCCCTTTCTGCCCAAACCCCATCTCTATCTCCCAACCCAATAACTGTCAGTTCTTCGAAACCAGCTGTGCATACCTGGAGCACTTTGGCCTTCTTTCCCCCAGCCAGCGTAGATAGGCTTCAGCACCCACCCACAGGAGTGTTTTACCCTGACCCTGTCTGTGGACCTGAGTGGACTCAAGATTGCTTTGAAAGCTGCCAAATCTCCTTGTGACCACTAGGGGGCCATTTAGTCTGGTCTATAAACAGCAGATTAAATGATTTCAAAGAAAATCAGTTAATTTCCCCTCTCTACTCCTCACCATCATCCCCCGAACACATCCCTCTTAATGTGAATGCCAGTTAACCAGTTCGCACCTAACTTTTTTTCGACAAAAAAAAGTTCTGCACTAACATTGAAGAACAGTGCCCTCTAAAGGATGAAAACCCTCCTGACTCCTGTGAGCTGGGTAACTATGGCCAAGTTATTTAACCTCATTTTCCTTCGATTGCTCTCTCTGTAAAGGAGGAGTAATACAGAACATGTATTCTCCAGCATAAAAGCACTTCGCATCTACTGTCGCAAGAGAGAACCCTGGAAGGAAGTGGAATGAGCTACAGCTTATTCATGTATGCGTCCTTAGCTATGCGTAACCCCCATGTGTAGACCATCTGGGAGGCACAATTCATGTTTTAAAAACATCCGTGCCGGGCTCGGTGGCTCAGCCTGTAATCCCGCGCCTTTGGGAGGCTGAGGTGGGTGGGTTGCCTGAGCCTGCGGGTTCGAGACCCGCCTGGGCAGCACGACCTCATCTCTACAAAAAATTAGCCGGACGTGGTAGCGCGCGCCTGTAATTCCGGCTACTTGGAAGGCTGAGGCGGAAGGATCGCCGGAGCCCAGCAGGTCGAGGCTGCGGTGGCCGGGAGCGGCCACTGCACTCCAGTCTGGGCGACAGAGTGAGACTCCAACTCAAAAAAAAAAAAAAAAAAAATCCGTATTGAGTTCCTGGGGGTCTGCACTACTGTGCTGTGACTTGAGAGAGTTGATCCTCACCTAAATGATCAGACACAGGCTCTTGGAAAAAGCAGGATTTCAAATATTAACCCTTTTATTCCTTTTATTTGATAATGTTTATCTTAGTATTTTAAAAATACAAATACTGCATATTTCATATAGATAAAGCCAAAGAAAAGCTAATTAGAGTTATACTAAACTCCAACAAGCCTAAGGAAGATGGATTTTTTCCATGCTTAAGTTAAACACTATTTTAAAAGATAAATATTAAATATGTGAGTACCTACATATGTCTCCTTTGTCACAAAAAAAATTCTACAATCTGCCTGAACTTAGAACTTTGAAGGTACTGCTAAAGTTTGAGATATGGCTTAAGGTTATTGATTCATTCTTCTTTGACAGGTGAAATCATGAAGCAGCACTAACCACAGCAATTATGGCATTAAAATGTCAAGAAATTAGAGGTCAGAATAACAGATAATCTTCTTCTCTATGTCAGATTAAAAATTGACATCCTTTGACAGTTTAGGAACTCTGGCTGAGAAAATTATGACGGCTTAACTTATTTTATACTTGTAAAGCAGTAATTGATAATAAACTTTATCATGACAGCCTCTGGGCAGAAACATGACAGTATAGTTCTGGTACAAAGCTCTTCTTAATGTGTAAACACTTGATCTGTTGGATAATAGATATTATGTAAATTGTCTTAAGTCTTGGCTGACATCATAATCTTTCAAGTTCTTTTTTTTCTAGATGAGCTGAACCCTTTGAGCAGTGTTTTTCAAGCATAATAATGAATATTGTTTCTTATCCATTTTTGCATATTGACACAAATTATGTGATTTGCTTTATATTTTTACTTACTAAATGATGGTCAACAAGCTCCATCCTATGACCTGCTTAGGAGACAGTGTGTTCTGGTTGTAACCATCTCCACCCATGGTTTTCTTACACTTTGGTAAGAAAATCTGGTTTACAGCCCAGCAGTTTCAGCATCACCTGGGAACATGGGGGAACTTCAGACTGTCAGGTTTCCCCATCCTACTAAATCAGAACCTGCATTCAGTGAGACTCCCCAGGTAACTTGTTTGCAACATTAAAGTTTAAAAAGCACTGCTCTCCTAATGGTGTGTTAGAATCATTTGGAAAGCACTTCCTCCCCACCCCCCATGGTATAAGGAACCCTTAAGTATCTATCACCCAGTTTGAAAAGTTTAGTCCATTTCATCTGTACCCCCACCCCTTGTACTATTTTTAAATACACATGCTGTACCCATCTACCATCCACTGTACGTCTCCCCATTACATGGGCATATCAGAGTATTCAGGGAGAGGCTTCAAGCAGGTTTATTTTGAAAAAAAAAAAAAATCATTCCAGGAATTTCATATATATTCTCAATTAAAATCCATTAACCTAGCCTAACACTCCTATTAAGTTTTTTCGAAGACACCAGCTATATAGTGTCAGAGCCAGGATGCTCTTGAGTCAGGGCTTTTTCGTCCCATTATTTTCTAGGAACTTAAAAATAACAGAATATACACTAAAACTTATGCATTTTAGGGATGGATATTCTTCTTCCAAAATGATTCTTAAAATTTTAAAGAAAGCCTAATGTGTATTTTCATTTCACTAATTCAAACTATTTAATATATGTTTTTGAATTTATGAAAGCTTTCAATTCAGTGAAACTTTCAGTAACCAAAAAGGAAAAATTACGATGATTTTCAGAAAAACTTAGCCATTTTGTGGACTGTTTGATCTAATCACTTCTCAGAAAAACATAATTTTGTCAGTCTTTGAGAGTTCAAAATCACTGTGGGATTATGCTGTGGCTAGTCATTGGTTAGTAAATGTTATTAATCAAATGAATGCCACAAGTTTTTTTACTGTACTTTTATGATGAATGAAAATACCTGTAAAATTGTTTTAAACAATAATCACACTTACGATTATAGACAATTATTCAAGCCTGTGTGCCTCAGTGTGTGATGATGTGGTGGGCCACAGGCAGTGAAAATGGAA